AAAGTGTCCAGGCTCCCCGGCACCCCTGGGGGGCCCCCCCCCCCCAACTACATCCCAGGCACCATAGAGACCCCACTTTCTCAGGCTAGGGTGTCACTCCCTGGATCCACCATAGACTCCCCCTCCCCAGACAGACCCCCTCCCTTGGCTCATGGGTGGGGGGAGGGGGGTGCTCTCCCAACCACAGAGACCTCTCTCAGCCTAGAGCACCTCCCCTCACCATAGAGACTGTGACACTAACCATAAAGTCCTCCCAAGGCTAGAGCGCCCAGTCCATGGAGGACCAAGACACCATAGTCAGCCACCCTGTCTAGAGTGCTCTCCCCTCCCCATAGAGGCCACTCCCTGGCCTAGAGTGCCCAGCTTGACCATACATTCTGTCTCCTCCTCCCCCAATCTCCAAGCCTAGAGCACCCTCCTCTTACCAGAGTCAACCAACATGGCTCCCAAAGAGGAGCATCACCATAGACATCTCCCCTGCCTTGAGTGTCCTCCATAGAGTGTTACTATGGAGCCGCGCCCCCCCCCAGTAGACTGGCCTCCCCTCACTGTAGAGTTCCCCTCTGTGTGGAAGACCTCTCCCAACCTACAGTGCCCTCCCCTAACTATAGAGTCCTGCCCTGGTGGCCTCCCAGCCCTCCTCGAGTGACCATAGAGGCCTAGAGGGCCCCCCGCCATTCCTCCCTGAGACCATAGAGTCCTGCCCGCCTCCCCCCCACTTAGTCCTAGAGCATCTGGCCCCACGGGTGACGTGTAGTGGGTGGTTCATCTGCAGGCGATCCACAATCCCTGCCGGCTGCTGCCGGCTATGGGAGCTCCCCCACTTACTGTCACCGCGTTCCCGCCACCACCACCACCGCCACGCCCCCCCCGGCCACTGGGGGCATGAGTCATTCATGTTCTGCCACCCTCCAAGCCCCAGGATCGGGCCCCCCCCAGCATCACAGAGGGACGGAGAAACGGGGCCTCAGCCCCCTTTATTGACTCCAGAGACAGAGAACCCAGTTGTCTGGGGAGCCCAATCCCGAAAAAGGCCTAATTCTGAGTGGAGGGGCCCAAATCTGGGTGGCCCCGATCCTGGAAATGCCCGATCCTAAGCGGCTCTGATCCAGGAGGGGCCCAATCCTGGGCAGAGGGGCCTGATCCGAGGTGGGCCCCAAGCTGGAGCCCCTCAGAAGCCACTGCCCATGTCCCAGAGGTTGCCAGCCAGGGCGTTGGCAGCTGCCTGCAGGGTCCAGGTCAGCAGGGCCAGGCGGCGCCGCAGCTCCCTGTCGCTGTCTCCGTCACGGTCCATGGGGGCTGCAGGAGTGCCGGCAGGGGGCAACCGGGCCAGGGCGGCCACCAGGGCGGGCAGCGTGTGGGGGCCACGGCCATACAACACGTGGCGGAAGGGGGTCTCCGTGGGGGCCACGTAGGGGGACAGGAAGGAGAATTCCACCTGGGAGGGTGGGGAGGCATTAGGAACCCTGGGGGGGCAGGGGGCTGCGGGCTGGGAGGGAGGGGCACTGGAGATGGTGGGGGGTCCTCACCCTCATAATGCGCAGGTTGAAGCCACGCGTGAGCCGCTCATTGCCCTCGTCAGAGCCCAGGACGTCCCGGCGCAGCTGCTCACCAGCACGGGCCAGGTCCCCCCGGGCCGAGTACAACCAGCCCAGTGTCAGCCCCCGCACCTGGGGGGGGGTCAGTGCTGCCCCGAGGCCCTCACTTGCGACCCGCAGCCCCCAGTGCCCCTCACTTCCGACCCACAGCTTCAGCCCCACCAGCCCTGCCAGTGCCCCTCACTGCCGACCCACAGCCCCTTCCCCCCCAGCCCTGCTGGTGCCCCTCACTGCCGACCTGCAGCCCCCCCGCCCCATACCTGCAGCTGGGCCTCATGACGCCCGAGCGGTGCCAGGTGCTGCAGCAGGACATCCCCATAGCAGCTGTAGTCAAGGGGCAGGATGCGGTCATGGCTGAGGCGGATGAGGAGATGCCCCACGACCTCGGCCACAGCCTCGGCCACAGCGGGCAGCCGCCCACCCAGTGCTGCCTCCAGCCGGGCATAGGTGTCGGCCCGAGTGCTTAGGAAGGGGTAGGGGCGGGCCTCCTGCAAGAGGTGCAGGTTGGGAGTGAGAGGCACTGGCAGGGCAAGGGGCTGCAGGTTGGGAGTGAGGGGCACTTGGGGGGTGGTCCTGACCTCGACGAAGGAGAACTCCACAGCTGGGACCCCCCCAAAGGCTGTGAAGGCATAGGCGCTGCTCTCCATGGGCAGAGGCCGGATCCTGGCACCAGGGGAGGGGGGAAGGTCAGAAGTCACCTTGGGTGAGGGCTGGGGGAGTCAAAGGTCAGGGGTCACATACACCTCACTGATCCAGTGCCGCCCAGAAGCTGTGACCTGCTCGTAGATGCTCTGGCTGCTGCGGCTGGGGCTGTCGACCTGGGGAGGGGAGAAGAGCCAGGGGGGGACCTTTGCTCTCTGCCCCTGCCCCACTATCAGAGAACGCAGGCATCCGGGCTCCCAACTCCCCCACGCTTCCCTTCCCAGGGAACCCAAGTGTCCAGGCTCTCCTGCTCACCTGCTTGATGATGCTCTCAATGAGGCTGACCAGGAGAGGGCTGGTTCTGGCAATGAACTTGTCATCTCCTGGGGGGTTGCGGGGGCTCAGAGCTGGGCCCCTCCCAGAGAATCCAGGCATCCGGGACCCCCAGCACCCATCTCCAGAGAACCCAGGTGCCGGCCCCCCCCCCTCACCCAGCACTGCGTTGTCCAGGCTGATGTAGGCGACGGCTTTGAGATGCAGGACGCTGAAATACCCCTGTGGGGCAGGAGGGTGACAGGGCAGGAGGGTGATGGTTTGAGGGGGGGGGGGGGGGCGAGGGGGGGGCGCGCCGGGCCTCCCCCCCCCCCAGCCCCAGGGAGCCCAGAGGCATCTTGGGATCCCAGGCATCTGGGCGTACCTCCAACCACTCTGTGGAGCCAACGCTGCCAAAGTCTCCGGCATCCCAGCTCACAAAAAGCAGGCTGCGGCGGAGCTGGAAGCCTGGGGGGTAGGAGGAGGAGCAGGATCAGGACCCTGCCCCATCCTCCAGGGAACCCAGGCATCTAGGCCCCCAGCAAACCCAGGCATCCGCGTACCGTGGCGGACCATGGCAGCCAGGGCCTGGGTGAGCTCCAGCAGCACTGCAGTTCCGACACCAGCCCGGGCAGCCCCGGGGCCTAGCGAGTCCCGCTGAGCTCCCACAATGACATAGTGGTCTGTGGGCATGGGGTGGGGTCAGGGGTGGGGCTTCCCAGAGGCCCCGCTCCTTCAGTGCTCCAGGGCCTGCCTCTTGGCTGCAAACCCCACCCCCTAAAGCATAGACCCCGCCCCAAGGGACTTAAGCCCTGCCCCACATGCCCCAAGGACCCTTTGGAGTAGACCATGCCCCCTTTCCCATTCAAGCCCCGCCCATGTTGCCCCCAAATCCCACCACCTCCAGCCCCAAGCCCCGCCCACCGGGCTCCAGGCGCCCCTGCAGGCAGCCGAAGACATTGCTGATAAGGGTCGTGACCTTCACATTGTGGACGTCCAGATGCACTTGGACACCTGGGTCCCCCAGGCCAAGGTGGTAGGGCACAGCTGGCAGGCGTCCCCACCACCCCCGGGGGGCCTCAGGGCCTGTCAGTGTCCTGCGGGAGGGAGAGGGGGGCATGGGACCCAAGCATCCGGGACCCCTGGAGCTAGAAAGAACCCAGGTGACTGGGCTCCCCAGACAGGAGAGGACCCAGGTGTCTGGGCCCCCGAGAGAGGAGAGGACCCGGGCGTCCAGGCAGTACCGGAGCAAGCGGGCAGCGGTGGCAGCACTGATGGGCTGGGCTGGGATTTGGGGCAGCCCCAAGGACCGGAGCGGGGGGAACTGAGTCTGGTTGAAGGACGGGAACCCGGGGCTGTAAGGGTCCCCGGAGCCAAGGTGCACCTGGGGAGGGGCAGGAGTGAGAACCCAGGTGTCCGGGCTCAGCCCCTGCCCCCTCCCATGACAGAACCCAGGCGTCTGGGCTCACGTGGCCGTAGACGGCGGTGTCCGGGGGCAGCCCCAGGCTGGGGGGATCCTGGGGGATGTCCGCTGGGTCAGGGTAGATCAGCACCCCCCGTGCCCCAGCTGCCTCCGCATTGGCCACCTGTGGGGGGGGGAGAACCCAGGAGTCCAGGATGGCCCCGTGACTCCACCCCCCCCCAGTCCCCCTTGCCCTTCCAGACAACCTAGGCATCTGGGTGCACCTTCTCGGCGAAGCTGATCTCCCCCACGCGCACGAGGACGAGGTGCCCATAGGGATCAGCCCCCGCTGTCCTCAGTGCCGCCAGGTCCTCGGGCCGCCCATAGTGGGCATAGACCAGCCTCCCCTGGAGGCACAGAGGGAGTCAGGGGGCAGCTGGGACCCCCTGGGGCTGAGGACAGGGGCAGGAAGTGTTGCTAGGGCTGTTGCCACAACATTGCTAGGGACACGAGATGCTACTAGGCCAATTGCCATGGTATTGCTAGGGGCAGGAACAGTTGCTAGGCCCATTGCCATAGCATTGCTAGGGGCAGGAGGATCTGCTAAGTCTGTTGCCATGTTGTCACTAGGGGCAAGAGGCTCTACCAGGCCCCATTGTCATGGCATTGCTAGGGCCAGGGAATGTTGCTAAGCCAGTTACCATGGCGTTGCTGGGGGCAGGAGGTGCTTCTAAAGCCATTGCTAGAGCATGGCTAATGGTTAGAGGCAGCGGGCATTGCCAGGGTGGTTGGTAGGGTGTTGCTAGGGCCTAGAGGCAATTACCGTGGCATTGCCAGGTGCGCTGTAGGGGCAGTAGGCCTCAGGGTCCTCCAGGGGGAGCTGCTCCAGGATGCCCCCCCATGGGTCCAGGCGCAGCAGCATGTTGGGATGAAGCCTAGCAGAGGGGGCAGGGCTAGTGCCAGGAAGCCCTGCCCCCAGACCCCGTCCCTTCCCCCCGCTCCCAGACCCTTCCTCCCCCAGGGCCCCACCCTTCCCTCCCAGGCCTCCTGGTCCCCCTAAGCCCCGCCCATGCCCAGGGCCCGCCCACCTGTGAGGGCGTGGCAGCCCCACGTAGTGGCTGTCGGTCCAAGCCCGGTCCAGCCCGCAGGCCCCGAGCTCGGCCAGGACCCACTGAGCCAGTGCCTGTGCCTGGGCTGAGCCGGGGGGGTGGGGGCCCTCGCTGGCTCTCCTGGGGGGCAGAGGTGAGAACCCAAGTGTCCGCCCCCCACCCCAGACCCATAGAGAACCCAGGCATCTGGCCCTCCCCCCATGGAAAACCCAGGCACCAGAGCACCCCACCATGAAGAACCCAGGCACCCAGGAGGTGCTCACCTGACACGGGCATTGAGGCGCTGGGGGCTCAGCTCACGTTGCAGCAGGCCCCGTAGGTCGGCCCAGTAGAGGGGGGGTTCCCCTGGAGGGCGCAGCACCACCCCCTCCTCATTGCCTCCAGCTGCCAGCAGCTCGGTCTGGGGCCCGCTGCAGCCCTGGGGTGCCCCCCGCCGCCCCATCGCCCCCAGCACACAGCCTGGGGGGCAGGGCAGCTGCATCAGGGGGCCAGGGGAGCAAAAGTGGGGATCCTGGGGCAACAGGAGGGGACTGGGGGACAAATATGGGGTCCCTGGGGCAAGGGGAGGGGCCTTAGGGTATAAACCTGGGGGTTCTGGGGCAGGTAGAGGGGGGCTGGGGCAATACAGAAGGTCTGGGAGGGGCAAATCTGGGGTCCTGGGGGCAAATGGGAGGGGTAGGGTCAATACAGAGCATCTGGGGGAGCAGGAGGAGGGTCTGGGGTGCAAATCTGGGGCCCTGGGGGCAAATGGGAGGGGCTGGGGCAATAGAGAGGGTCTGGAGGGCAGGGTGTGTGTGTGGGGGGGCAAATCCAGGGTCCCTGGGGCAGGTGGGGGGCTGGGGCAATAGAGAGGGTCGGGGGCAAGAGGAAGGCCTGGGGAGGGCAAATCTGAGGTCCTCAGGGCACATGGAGGGGATGATGGAATAGAGAGGGTCGAGGGGTGACAGAAGGGTGGTGACTGGGGCAGGCAGGGGTGTGGCTACACCAGTGGGAGGAGCTCCATGGGAAGGCATGGCCAGTAGGCCAGGGGGCGTGGTCAACCAGGGAACAGGGGTTTCTGGCTGCGTGTGCTGGGGTAGGGGACGGGGCTAGGAGCCAAGGGGGCGGGATTATAAGGGAAGGGGCAGGACTTACCCAGCACGAAGAACAGCAGTGCCCCCAGCAGGCCACAGGCGATGGCAGTGGCTCGGCCCTGGGCCCCCCTGGGCCCCCCCGGCCTCTCCAGAGGGATCAAAACCTGCACGGAGCCGCCCCCAGCCTCACGGCAGTACTGGGCCCCGGGGGGCGTGCGCCCGGCCTGGGGGGTGTGGGAGTCAGGGGCACTGCTGGGCTGGGGGGGCAGGGGGCTGCGGGTCAGGAGTGAGGGGCAGTGGGGGGCCCGCCCCCCCCCACTTACTGCTCTGTGCAGCAGCAACCTCACGGCACTCATAGCAGCTCTGGCCTGTGGGGACCCCCCCAGACCCTGAGCAAAGCAGCACCCCCACGGCAAAAGGCAAGGGGCTGCAGGTCAAGAGTGAGGCGCACCACTAGCACTGTGCCCCCCGCCGCCCCCCCACCACATACTGCCAGGAGGTCCTAGTTCCTTTTGCCAATCGGAGGCCTGGAGGAATTCCAGGGCCCAGCAGTGACCTTTGACCCTTAAATTGCTCCTTCCCATGCCCAGTGCCCCTCACTCACAACCCGCAGCTGCTGTCCCACCCCCACCCCAGCCCTGCCAGTGCCCCTCGCTCCCAACCTGCAGCCCTCTGTCCCCCCGGGTGCCCTTCACTGCCGACCTGCAGCCCCTGCCCCCCAGTCACTCACAGTCTGTGCCTTGTCCTCTGCGGCTCCCCCTTGATTGACAGCTGAAAGCCCTCCCTCCCAGCCCCCAGTGACCCCAGATCCCCCCCCACCACACACACACACACACACACTCAGAGCTGGGCCCCTGTTATATGCTGCTAGGCCCCACCCTAGAAGTGACTGCATGTTGTGGGGTAGAGGGAAGCTCTGCTGGGTAAGGGTTCAGTGGGGCTGAAAAGGGGGAATGGACAGGACAAAGGCCTGTGCCCTTGCTGAGAAGGGCAAACATGGTGTGGGGTGGAGGAGTCCCCCTGAGACTCCAGGTGTCCAAGCCCCCAGCCCCCTCCCCTATAGAGACCCCAGGCATCTGGGCTCTGACCCCAAACCTGTTTGGCAGCCGCTGGGTTCACTGTGACCTCAGCTGTTTGCTTTCGGATGGCGGGTCCTGTGGATCTGGAGTGAGGGGCACCCGCCAGGCCAGGGGGCTGTGGGTCGGGAGTGAGGGGCACCAGGATTGGGTCTGGGCTGTTTATTGTCACAGATAAATATGGGGGGTTTTTACACATTAAGTTAATATCAAACATGGAGTCTCTGTGCCTCCCCGCAAAGGAACCTAGGAGTCCGGGGGGCACGGAATCCAGGCATGGGAAGGAGCAGTGTGATTGACAGCTGTCAATCATCCATCAGTCACTCTGCCAGCAGTCCTTGCATGCTGGGCACTGACAGCATCCTTCACCGCAGGCTCTGGGCTTGATTGACAGGCGTCCGTCACGAGTTGCTCCCTCTATCCCAGGCAGCTGTCAATCACTGGCTCCAAGGGGTAGGATTCTGCTGGGCGGGGCCTCACGTAGGCCCGCCCCCCCGGCAGGCATCGGCCAGCAAGAGTGAGACTTTGCCCCGCAGGAAGTTGGACTGAGCCCCCAGGAGGCGGAGCACAGAGCGGGCAGGGCTGCCTGGGGGCGGGGCCAGGGGTGGGGGCTGCAGGAGGGGGCAGAGTCAGCAGTGCCCCTGACTCCTGACCCACAGCCCACTGCCCCCCCAGCCCTGCCAGTGCCCCTCACTCCCAATGCGCAGCCCCCCTCAGCCCTGCTACCCCTCACTCCCAACTCGCAGCCCCTGCCCCCCAGCCCTGCCAGTGTCCCTCACTCCTGACTCACAGCCCCTCACCTTGGCCTCATGGTTGCGCAGGATCTGGCCCACGCCGCGCACCACGTTGTGCATCCGCTCCAGCGTCACCCGTGTCCCCGGCTCAGTCACCAGCTCCCGGGCACGGCAGAGGGCAGTAACCAGGAGGGTATGACCCCCCCACACCTCCTGCACCCGCGCTGGCCACTGCCAGGGGTGGGGGCAGTGATCAGACCAGGCCCGGACCACCCCCCCCTCAGCCCTGCTGATGCCCCTCACTCCTGACCCACAGCCATTGCCCCCTCAACCCTGCCGATGCCCCTCACTCCTGACCCGCAGCTCCTGCCCCATCAGCCCAGCCGGAGCCCCTCACTCCCGTCCCACAGCTCCTGCCCCCCCATCCTCTCCCTCCTGACCCCCAGCCCCGTTAGCAACTCACACTCATTTGCTGCCACTCATTAAAGTTCACTTTTGTTTCAGGCAGCATCAGGATGTCCGGCAGGTCGCACGCAGCTCCGCAGGCAGCCTGGGGGGGCGGGGCAGAGAGAGGTGAGATGCAGCCAGCTCTGGGGCATATCACGGCTGAATGTAACAGGACCCGGATGCACCCAGCTCTGGTGTGGCCGAGCTGGGTAGAACAGGGCCTGGATGTGCCTAGCTCTGAGGGGAGAGGGGGGCACCTACTGCTGCCTTCTCTGCATCCTGGGTCTCACGGATGAACATCTCCAGCACACGGGGGTCACACATGGGCCGGGGGGCGCCTGCCTGAACTGGCCCCGGCATCAGCAGCAGCATCGACAGCAGAGTCCAGAGCCCTGGGGGGAGATGGGGGGTGAGAACCCAGGGGTCTCAGCTCCCCCAGCCCCCCACTCCCAAAGAACCCCGGCATCTGGGTCCCCCTGTGGTCACCCCCAGCCCCACTCCCTTCTCAGACAACCCAGGTGTCCGGGAATCCCGGCTGCCGTCCTGCTCAAACCCACCAGCCCCTACTCCCATCCCAGAGCCTGGAGAGAACCCAGGCGTCCGGGCTCCCGGCTCTCACCCCCACCCCTCCCCATTCATTCATCCACCTAAGTCTTCCGGGGCTGGTCCGGACGCCTGGCTTCTCTGGCGGGGGGAGTGGGGAGGGCGGGAGCCCGGATGCTGGGGTTGTCCCCCCGGTCTGGCTTGGAGCCTGGGGTGGGTTGTGATGGAGGCCCGGACACCTGGGTTCTCCCTGTGCTCTGTGAAAGGGGTCTGGAGGGGGGCAAGGGTCACATCCCAGACACCTG